GATGACAATCACATTGAAAGCCAAATCGTAACACAGTGTTTGGGAAGCAGCATTGCACCAATATAACACCAATGGAGAATCGTAGCACTGAATGTCAATGTCAATGAGAGCTTGCTCTCGCCACCACCAACACATGTATCCAGTCTCTATCTCCCTACCTGGCGCTCGGCGCCCAGCCTACTCCCTACACAGCTACTACTAGCCTACTAATTGACAATGCAACTGTGGACGTCAGCAGCACCCGAAGTACTTGAAGATGTCGCCCATGCAGAACCATCGCCAATACCAGGTATGTGCCCTCACATCCTCCTCCTCATCATCCTTCTCTCTCTCTCCCTTGTCTCTCCCTTACGTCTTCCCTTCTCTACAACCGAAGACCACCCCTGCGCCTCACTGTATGTCCAAGCCCACAGCCAGCTATGGAGGCTGGGCTATGGCGCTGCCCTCAGCAGCGCCCTGCTTCACCACACAACCGCACGTGCGCAGCCTCTTGCTCCAATGCTAGCAGCCAGCACGTGAGCTATCGCTCCAGCAGCGCTGCCGCCAGCCAGCGAGTGCCCGAATGACGCTGGCCAGGGAGAGCTCTTTCCTATATGGAAAGAGCTGGCCTGCTCACGCAGCCCGGCTGGGCTGGGCCTGGGCCCAGAAGCTTCCGGTAGGCCCCAGGATGCTGCGCTTGTGTGCAGCTACTGGGTCTCTTGCGGTTGGGCCTCCCAACTGTCAGTGTATGATGCTGCGATTCTCGCCCAGGGCCTGCATTCTTTGGAAAAGCCCAGAAGGCAGTGGAAATGTCTTTGTTGCCCGGCCTGGGTTTCTCTCAACCAACGGACGCGTCGCAACTGCCTGGACCCCAAATATGAATTTGACAGCCGAGGGCCTCTTGTGATATGTTAGGCCCGCCTTCACTTAGGACGGGCACTCTTGCAACAGGGGCCCCTCAGGCCTGCTGAGGACCCAGATCCTCGCAATTGTTACAATCCAGGCTATTTTACAAGTGCAAATTCACAAGGAAAGACAATGCCACGCAATTGCGAAAAAAATGAAAGAACTTGCAAAGAGATAGAGACCAAAGAAGAAGAAGAAGAAGAAGAAGAAGAAGAAGAAGAAGAAGATGTACAGCAGCAAGACCAATGACAAATCCCATTTCTCTCTCCATTCTCCTCCTCCTCCTCCTTGTCTCCACCAAGCTTATTCTTCGCCAAAATAATAATAATAATAATAATGAGTGGTCGAACCAGAATCAATTATATCCGAAGTTCCCTCTTATTGCCAGCACCACAATAGGTCTTTCATAGCCATGGTGTCCCTCTTCACCTTCCTCTCACATGCCAAGGCTATGGGGGACCACTAAGGCTTCGCCCTTTGTGCAAAAGACAACACAAAGCAGCTATGGTCGATGCTCTTCAGGCCGCCATGTCTGACTCTGCCACGAAGCTTCTTTGATGCGGCACTACGCCAACTGGGGCCTTCCAGATGCAGTGCCTAACAAGGTGATGAAGACGGTGTCCACCATAGCCAGGTAGGTACCTCGCCACTCTCCTCGTTCGCACCCTTCTTTCTCCTCCTGGGCTGCCCGCCATAGCCATGCAGAGCGCCCAGCTCCCCTTGCCTCCCAGGCAGTGCTCTGTGAACCAGCGCTCGCTCAAGCAGCACGATGTCCAAACTTGCATACTGCAAATGAGGAGGAGGAGCTACTCACTCCTCCCGGAAATATAGCGGTCTACTTGCCTCTTGGGCAGTGACTTCCAGGCCGCGCAGCCTCCAAGCAACCGCTACCTCCTCCCTTTCGGAGGGAAACATCATAGCAGGCTCTGATATTGTACGCACAGGCCCTTTAATCAGGCTAATTGGACTGGTACCGGCCTATATCTAGCCTACCGCTACTACGCCTCTAAAAATGCCAACTTTTTGTCTTCTTCTGCTCGGCCTCCAGTTCCCCACACATCGATTACTACTTGAGTGGCACTGGCATACCTGCTACTCGAGTGTTTTCGTCCTCCTGCTGCCCTAAGTGTTGCGGGCCTACTCCCCGCTACTTGAGTGTTTTTCCCTCTGCAGCCCTCAAAGTGACGGCCACAGGTAAGTACCGGCCCTGAGGGCTTCACCACACACAGTGCCCTGTCGGACCACACACACACACTCAGGCAGACGTGCACTCAGGCAGGCACACGGACCAGCAAGCACGCACACACACACACAGAACTCAGCATAACGTGGGAAATCCCAGCAAGGCATACATTCCAGTGACAAAACCTAGAACTCAGCAGTCTTCTCAGTCTGTGTTTTGGCTGGTCATTACACTACCCCCCTCTCAAGAGCGAGGTCCCTTACAGCGAGTAACTCATTCCCCCCTCTCAAGAGCGAGGTCCCTTACAGCGAGTAACTCATTCAGACTCCTTGCAAAATGTGTCATAAGTGTAGATCAGAAATAGAGTTGTGGTATGACCATAAGGAGTAAGTGTTGCAGAGAACTTAGCAGTCTGTCCATCGGCTATCTGTCGTTCGTAAGTCTTAACGGTACGGGGAGCATTCCTTAACAACTTTTTCAGTCGATCCAGTAGAACTCATCCAACGGGTGATATAGGCAGTGGACTTCGCACTCTGCTCCTCCCTTTTCCTTCATGTGAATCATTCTGTCTATTTCGTGACCACCATTGGTAGCACGAGGAATCATAGGCTCTTGGAAAGGAAAGGTCTCATCAGCAATGCGGGCAACCAATTTGGATGTGTGAAAGACCGGATACGTGCGCAGATGAGGTGCTACGGTGATCACATATGAAGGACCAAACTCATCCTCCCCTACCACCTTCAGAACCTGCCAAGGACCATAGTGCAGTGGAAGAAGCTTTCATGATACTCCCTCTCTTCAGAAAGTTCAGACATCTTGACCCAGACATAACTTCCTACTTCGAATTTCCCTCCTTTGCGCGCCTTGTTAGCATGTTTGATCATGGCGGGCTGGCGCTTGTTCATCACTGAAACAACAACTTTGATTAAGCGTGCGTACTTGGCATTGTAACCAGGCATGTCGGGTGTCAGACCAGGGGACCAATCAGGGAACAAATACAGGATTGTGCATCTGCCAACCGTATTGTAGCTGATTTGGTGTTACAGTAGTTGTGAAGTGGATAGAGTTGTTGTCCAACCCTTTCACTTTGTGTAATTCCTTGTCCCATCGGGAACAATTAGGGCACAAAGAAGTGGAATGACAGTCTGGTTGATTTCCTCGGCCAGCCCATTGGCCCCGGGGTGTCGACCAAAAGTGTTCTTCAGTGTGATGTCGTAGATCTGAGAGGTGAAATCTTTCTAAGGTGCTCGTTAGACACTCCTCGGCCACGTAAATTCCTCGAGGAAATTATTGTTCCACCTATCCTCGGGAATTTACTGAAAAAAAATGAAAACATTTCCTAGGGGAATCCTCAGGGCATCCTCGAGCTACAACCATTTTGTGGCTTCCCCCAAGGTACCTCCCTAGGTCCCTTGGAGATGAACGATCCGCGATAATCGGAGCGGCAAGGGCACCGGTCGTCGATATCAATTTTTTGTCGGCTGGTCCATTGGAGTTCCTACCGGGCACTGCACGGACATCACCGGTCTTCAACGTTCGGCTTCCAGGAACCTTACGCCAACGACAATCGTTGGTGGCCTGTCGACCCCCATCGACGTCGTCGACCACCGTTCTCCCTCACAATGCATGCCGCCAAACGGAAAGGGGTCCAACGGTTGGAAAATTCAAATATTTGAGCCGACCGAAGTTTCTATTCCCAGCTGTGCTCCACGACGCAAGACATGACGGTGGTGTTTGTCGGATTTGAAAGTCTGTCGTTTGTTCGAGGCGTACCGACGTGGCAGTTATTGCCCTTCCCCACATGTCGTTCATGGTCGACTCTTTCAAAGGTTCTCGCTGCTGTTCGAGGTCATGATTGCGCTTGTCCTTCTCCTCGTCTTCCACGTCTGCATCCTCGGTAGGCTGCCTGTAACCACGTGGAAGAGGCGTTTAGCAACGAAGGGCGTCATCATGGACGGGCGGCAGGTGAAGAACAGGTCTTCAGTGGACCGATTTGTAAGCCACTGACCACGCAGCTTCCTGACATGCAGTGCAAGGGTCTGCATACGCACACTTGTTACCGCACGAACAACCTCTGCCCGACACATTAGATGAGGAGGCGGAGGAAGCACGATCACGTACGGTGGCGTTGGGAAGGGGGTCAACCCAGGAGTGGGCGGGGAGCCAGTTGTATGGGAATCGTGAGATGACGTCTCGACAATTCTTCACTGAACTGCTGGAAGACGGCATGCGAGAAAGCGACACTGCACCCGGGGTGAATCTTTGATTCGGGCTGTGTAGCGGGAGCTCATCGACCACCACACATACTGTCCTCGTCAAACCACACCCCGACAACGATGCGGGGCAAGTGGCACTAGTTGCCCGATCTGCAAAGGCTCCCTCCGAAGATTGTGTGCCATCAGATAAGATAAGGGATTGCTCGAGAGTACAATCGCCGCCGTCATCAGCAGCATGTGCTGCTGCCAGCCTCCATCGCCGTTGTCGAGGGTTGGCAGCAAGGGGAGCCGCAGGACCGACTGGGGGCCGAGGGACAAAGATTTCACGAGTGGTGCTGGAGAGCGGAATGGGTGGTAGGTGTGGGTAGAACATTAGCAGTAGGTGCGTCAAGAATGCAAGGAGTCCATAACGCGGGGGGTGCAGCGGCTGCGCATGCGGGAGGTGATGACAGAGAAGGAGCCGACAGTAGTGTACGCCGACGATTACTAGGACGCCGTTGAGGACGGCGAATGGCAGGACGACGCCAGGGCCGACGTTTGGCTGATGCGGAAGAAATCCATGAGTGGTTGGGGTAGGATGAGCAAGGCTTCTGTGTCGACTGTGCGATGACCAAGAAAAGCGGCGATTGTGGGGAGCAAGGGGGAAGGCGACGTGGAGGCCGAGGTCGGGCAAAACTTCTGGTCAGTCGACCACATGGTCACCCTCATCAGGGCGAACTGGGACCAGGATGCACATCTGCAGGGGATGGGCCACGCATACGCTTGCGTGAAGCAGAGGGAATGGAAATGGGCGGATGTTCAAGAGAGGCTGAAGAAGGTTGGTGTCGACGGGACAACATACAAGTGCGGGAAGAAATGGGACAACTTGATGCAGCAGTTCAAGAAGGTGCACCTGTTCCAGGGGAGTCTGGGAAACAAGACTTCTTTAAATTAACGGGGAAGGAGAGGTCTGCTCATGGCTTCAATTTCACCATGGATCGGGCTGTGTATGAGGAGATCAAGGGGTCAACCGAAAAGAGTCACACTATACACCCCAAGAATGTCGCCGACACAGGCGGTTCGGGTGGTGCGCAGCTGTTGTCCGGGTGTTCAGGCAGGCCTGGATCTGTCGGCAACGGGGACCCGGGTACCGACGACAACGAAGAAGACGGCAACTCCACGAAAGGGTCTTCACCAACGATGGGTAGCACTGGCGGTTTCGGCAAGAGGAAGAACGTGAGGCAGCAGACTTTCGAAGCTCTCACGGAGTGCGTGGAGAAGCACGGGACGCTAATGGCGACGACGGTGGAGAGCGCTAGCAAGAGGCAATGCTCGATTCAAATCCGGCAATGCAAAGCCATGGAAGCGGAGGTTGAGGTGCAGAGAAAGCACTACGCGGCGTCGGACGATGTCAACAAGCTCATGTGCCAAGCACTCTTGAAGATAGTGAAGGCTATACGAGAGAGGTAGAAACGGGATTCGTGTCGTTCACTACATCGCCCGCGGAACTTGCTGACTGCCCTTTGCTACTTGCACCGTAGTCTGTCCCCGACATCGCTCCCGGCACGAACCTCGTTTCTACCCATCGCTGGTGAAGACCCTTTTGTGCTGTTCACGACATCGCCCGCGGAACTTGCTGACTGCCCTTCGCCCTATCAATAGCAGTCCTCCCGTCGGCCTCCTCCATTCTCGTTGATGTCTTCCTGGCCACCTCTTCGGTCATATTCGGCAGGGGGGGCCGGGGCGGTAGTCTGAAGTTCGGGTGTTTCGCTCCGTTTCTGTTTTTTGTTTATTGTTTACTTTTTGTTCTTTAACTCGAAATGAAGATGACCGTTACTTTGGGGGTGCGGACAACGCTAGTTAATAGTGTTGAATTCTTTGTAATTTTTTTTCCCTAAGGTTTTCGCAAGTACCGGTAGTCATCACATGCTTAGCGCTTTGCGTGGTTTTTAGCTTGCTGCTGCCAAGTCCAAGCCTTGTCGGAGATCGATTGTCGACGTGCAGTAATTTAACGCAGCCACATTCTGCGTTATTTTTCAAGTTGGTGTTTGTCTCTCTCTCTCTCTCTCTGTTTGTCTCTCTCCCCTTCTCTCTCTCTCTCACTCTTGCGTCGTGTCACTATCTTTGCGTGTTTCGGATTTATTTTCCACAACAAGCAATTGAATTATTAAGGAAATTTGGCAAATGGCATTTTTCGGGAATGATGAGGTCGCGTATAGCATTGAAGGCAGAGCATGCATACGGGGGTCGAGAAGTTGAATTGCCAGTTCATCTCCACAAACTTACGGATGACAGAGAGAAAATGCATGCCGCCATAAATGCCTGTTGAGTCTGTGTTGACGCATAAAGGCAGCGTCTTTAATGTTGTCCTTCCGTGGAGTAAGAATGTCCGCAATTCTCGGAAGAGGCGGAAGTGAACATTCATGCTCCACTGGAGCTGAAACGTTTTGCAGTGTAGGATGTGGTCTATTTTTGCACATTTGTTGGATCTTGAAATCGCCCTTTTAGTCCACAAAACAAGACGACATTACAAAAACGATTTTTTTACGCACACACACACACATAAATAGACGCACACGGGTCCAAGGCGATGGGGCCGGTGGGAGAGATGGACACACGGACGAAAAAGGGGGGGGGTGCTTGCTGTGGGGGTTGGTTGGGGGGTGTTGTTGGATAGTTGGTCTGCGAATGTGAGTGTTTTGGGGTTGGATTTGGATGGTGTATGAGGGTACATGCCCTCTTTAGGTCGGGGTATGGTGGGTGGGGTTGTCGTTGCAGGGTACGGCCACTGCGGGGTGGGGTGGTGTGGCATACTGCGTAGCCACACGGGCCCTACAGGGCCCGTCCCAGACAGTCAGCCTAAAAGCCTAAAACTTAGGGCTTACAGGCCCCGGAGACGTTTCAGCCTGACAACCGAGTTCAGGCCCTACATGCCCTAAAACGGTTCCCAGACTGAAGCCTAAAACTTAGGGCTTACAGGCCCCGGAGACATTTCAGCCTGACAACCGAGTTCAGGCCCTACAGGCC